GGCCACAACACAAGCGGCCTTCATCAGGTGAAGGGACGAGACTGTCTGATAGGACAGCACTGGAGTGAAAGAGCCACGTTCAGATCATGACCTTTAAGCTGTGTGAGAGGAAACAAAGCGCCTTGACAAAGGAATTAGCATATAATTTAGCATTGAAATGGCTGAGTGATTAGCTTGTGACTGGTCACAGAAATAGCTATGTTAAAAGTTAAAGCATACACATCCGCAGAGGCACCCCTTGATAAAGGAATTAGCATAGAATTTAGCTGATATACTGCGACCTTTCACTGGAAAAACCACCTCTGCGGTACTAAATTCTACTCACCTGGTATCGACAATCAAAGGCATTTCCCTGTCCCCAGACGACCTGCTTGTCAGTTTTGATGCGGTGTCCTTGTTCACCAAAGTCCCGGTACCTGACACCATCGCTATCATTGAAGACCTGGTTCATCAAGGACTGCATACTGATGTACCCCCCCTGGTGAGACATTGCTTAACCAACACATACTTCACCTGGAATGGAACTTTCTACAAACAAACTGAGGGCACCCCAATGGGCTCCCCCCTATCTCCGGTTGTAGCCAACGTATTCATGGAAAAATTTGAAACTGACGCCATCCAGACTGCCACTCTACGCCCGACCTTATGGAAGAGGTACGTTGATGACACCTTTGTCATCTGGCCACATGGCCAGCCTGCTCTAGACCAATTCCGCGACCACATCAATTCCATACACCCAGCCATCAGATTGACCATGGAGGTCGAAAAAGATGGCAAACTACCCTTTTTGGATGTCTTAATTAAAAGGAGACATGATGGTTCAATGAGCCACTTTGTCTACAGGAAAGTTACCCATACAGATGCTTACTTGAAACCGGATTCCCACCACCATCCATCCCAGAAGAACTCCCTCATCAAGACTCTATACCATAGAGCCCAATGCATTTCCGACCAGGAACACATTACCAGTGAACTCAAGCACGTACACCAGGCTCTCAGGGCTAATGGTTACTCCGACTACACAATCCGCAAAGCCATCACTCCAGTCATGAAGAAGGATCCTCTTGTGGAGCCACTCAAAACCATCACCTTACCCTACATTGCAGGGGTCACTAAAAAGATCTCCAAAATCCTGAATAAACACAAGATCCAGGTCCGATTCAACACAGTACATAAAATCCGTGATTTAGTTCCATCTGTTAAAGATGCTGTTCCAGACATACAGTACCCGGGCGTTTACAAACTAAAGTGCCTCTGTGGTAGTAGCTACATTGGAGAAACCAAACGACATATCTCGGACCGCATCCGCGAACATAAGGCAGACTTGAAACACGGTAGGACGAACTCCTCTGCCGTGGCAGATCACTGTTATAATTCAGTGGGCTCACATGACATTGACTTCTCCAAGACGGAGGTTCTTTGCAAACCAACCGGCTACCATGAGAGATTCGTTCATGAGGCCATTCACATATACAAGCACAGAGACAATTTCAACCGAGAAGATGGATTCTGGCTTAGTGACCATTGGAAAGATGTTTTAAACCATTTCTGTTCTTAATTAATTGTATTTTACGATGACCTTCAGACCGCAGCTCTTTCGCCAGCATTGACTCTTAATACCTCTCACACCACGGTTAATGGTATGGTTTACAACATGGAGTATAATAGCGCCTCGCAGCTGTCTCTCTCCCCCTCTGTTCCGACCATGGATGAGCTCGTCCGTCTGAACGGGGCCCGTAGCTATCCGTGGTGCTAAAGTTGAGGGTAAGAATCCACCCATTTTTTTTTCGCCATATAGCATTGTGATATATAACGACTTATTGTTGGTAGCTTAGCTGATTGGAGAATATAGAGTTTATTGATAACATTAAGGTAATTTATATTTTAGTTTTTTATTGGTTCACTATATAGTACTGTGAATAGCTCAGATGTGTAGGCCTTGACTTCAACATAGTCATTTCTGTGACCAGTCACTAGCTAATCACTCAGTTATTTCAATGCTAAATTCGCCTAGTTATTTCAATGCTAAATTCTCCTGTTTGATTTGTACTAAGTGCCTCGGTGAATGTGTATGCTCTGACTTTAACGTAGCTATTTCTGTGACCAGTTACAAGCAAATCACTCAGCTATTTCAATGCTAAATTCTATGCGAATTCCTTTGTCAAGGGGTGCCTCTGCGGATGTGTATGCTTTAACTTTGCTATTTCAATGCTAAATTCTATGCTAATTCCTTTATCAAGGGGTGCCTCTGCGGATATGTATGCTTTAACTTTTAACATAGCTATTTCTGTGACCAGTCACAAGCTAATCACTCAGCCATTTCAATGCTAAATTATATGCTAATTCCTTTGTCAAGGCGCTTTTTTTCCTCTCACACAGCTTAAAGGTCGTGATCTGAACGTGGCTCTTTCACTCCAGCGCTGTCCTACCAGACAGTCTCGTCCCTTCACCTGATGAAGGCCGCTTGTGTTGTGGCCGAAACGTCTTGAGAATATATTATTGTGTTATTTTATTTTATCAATTTATTATTTTATTCTCATTCTACGTGACTTTACCAAAAGAACCAAAGAAGATGAATCATTGCAGTCACGAAATTTTTAAATTGAAATTGTTTTTTTTATTCAGCAATGCAGGCCATACCTGTATGGTCAGCATTTTACCGTGCGATCTGATCATTCGGCTTTACAGTACGCTCTGCGGGTTGACCAACCGTCCGGGCAGCTTTCTCGGTGGCTCGAAGTCCTTCAGGACTACGATTTCAATGTCACTTACCGTAGGGGTGCACAACACACGAATGCCGATGCGTTGTCTCGCCTTCCGCCGGCTCAAAAATGTGCGTGTTTTTTGGGCTCGGGCCGTTGTAAGCCGCCACTGCCTGCGCAGGTCGCGCCTCTCACAACGGTGTCAGCCGCACTTCCCACCGCCTCAGCGCCGATGTTGGATCATGCAGATCCAATGGCCAGTGACGATTTGCTGGGGCTAACTTTGGCCGAATGGGGTCGGCACCAGAGCGAGGACATGTCGTTATTGAGGTTGCGTCGCCACGCGAATAATGCGGTTCCAAGACAGGGCAAATTGTATTCATTTGTCATGAAGCACGGCTTGTTGATGCATTGGGATGCTGACTCGTGTCAACATCAAATCGTCGTGCCATCCGCCTTGCGATGCAAGGCCGTATGGGCGGCGCATGAGCGTTTATTGCACCTGGGTGTTCATAAGACCATTGGGTTGTTGCGGTTGCAATTTTTCTGGCCGGGCATGCTGCGCGACGTCACTGACATTTTGCTGGGATGCACCCATTGTGCGCAACGTAAACCGCTGGCTAAACTGGCATGTCCACCCCTGCAACCCATTTCGGTCTCTCGTATAAATGAGTTGGTGGCTCTCGATATTTTGGGCCCTTTTCCTACTACGCCACGAGGTAATAAGTACCTTCTGGTTGGGGTAGAGTAATTTACACGGTGGCCTATGGCCTGGGCCCTCCCCAACCAGTCGGCGGCGGCCGTTGTGGACGCCTTTGTTCAGGGCTACGTCCTGGACAAGGGCGCACCAGAACGGTTGCTGACCGATCAGGGAAGACATTTTTCGGGAGCCTTGCTGAATGATGTGTGCCGCCTGTTGGGCACTAAGAAAGTGCGCACTTCGCCCTACCATCCCCAGACCGACGGCATGGTGGAGCGCCTTCATAGAACTCTCACCGCTATGTTATGCCATCAGGTCGATGAATCCCACCTCGATTGGGACTTGCAGGTTCCGGGGGTCCTCGCCGCATACCGTATGGCACCTCACGCGGCGACGGGATTTTCCCCGTTCTTTCTTTCTTTCCCGCCGACGTTCGGCTGGAAATCGAACAGCCACCGCAAAAGTCAAAGCTCGTTGACCACTTGCGATTCAACCTCCGTAAGTTGGCCGAGGCACGGGAGGCCACCATTGAAAATTCGGCTTCCTGCCAACGGGCGAATTTGCGACTGCGGGACCCTCGGTCGTACACGCATCGGTGTGTTGCAGCCGGGACGGCTGGAGCTTCCGAAGGAGGGGGTGATGTAGAGGTGTTAACTACGTGCTGTTGCGTAACCTGCATTGCCACCAGGGCAGTGCAGCATTACCCCTGGGTACAACAGTTGGGTTAGTCGAGGTGAAACGGATCGTGGCCAGGGTTTGGTGCGAACCAATCAGACGGTTCCACGTGGGAATGTATGATTGGTTCTACCTGGCCACGAAGGGGTATAAGACGGGTGACCCAACGGACCTGGGGGAGTTCTCTCCCTGCACGAAGATAGAAGACTGGGCTGAAGCCTAGCTAGGACCCTGGACCAGCCTTTCAGCCCTTCTAAGGGCTAAGTCTCGGCATACCCAGTGGTCAGGACCCACCGGGCCAGCGGTGGGTCAGATAGCCTCCCCTAGGTCCTAGCCGGAGGACTAGGCTAGCGGTAGACGTGTGAGTCCCGCCAGGTCCGGAGGCTGTACCTCCCTAGGGTATCGGGTGAGGGGACCGAATATCCCTCTGTGTGTGTTAAGCGTTGTATAAGGAAATAATACAATAAACAGAGTGTGCCTCCTAAAGAAGTCTGCTCGTCCTTACAACACTACACATACATATTGTGCTAATTTGTGGCTTACCATTTAAATACACAAAGGTTGCCGAGAGGTTGGTGGATTTTGCACGTTAACTTTATTAAACAAAACTACAAAATCTAAACGTGTTGGTTTGTGATGTTTCAAATACTTGTTCATTACCAATGTCCTCAACACTTAATACAACTCTGCAGTACAACTTGAGATGCCTTGCACCAGCTCACCCAAGTGGCACCATGTGAATGAACGCAGCATCACTGGTCACTAAGTGGGCATTAGCGATGTGAGGGGGGGGGGGTGGTGGCAGCAATGGTGCTTTGTCATTTCCCAATTCGCGAGCAATGATGCAGAAATGAAGAGCACACTGCACAGAACAAAAAACGCACAGGCACTGATGCTGGTTCATATACACTTTATTGTGATCTCCCTGGTGTGTTAGGACGGTGGTGTGAGCAGTGTGGGAAGGGTCCCTCGCTGGTCCTTCAGCTCACGCAGGCGGATGGCAGACCTCACTGTGACAGCCGAGGTCGTGCTGAAGGAGGAACGGGCGGTTACACACATTGGGTGACATCGTAATAAACACTTCTAAACCTTCATCCTAATAATACACACCTTGGTCATTTTCAAAATAATTACCTTTGAAAATATTACAGAAAACGATAAGGAACGGTAAAAGCATCTTAGGCTTTGGCTCAACATAGCGTGCAAGACGTACTTGTAGGTCCATGCACCTCCTGCCACGGTCTTCGTGCACGAGCCGCAGTGCCAGATGCCCACCACCCTCCTCTTCATCTTGGTCTGGCTTTCACAAGGACAACACGAGCACCACAGGTACACTGAGCGGAAATCACCGGTCAAGGCACACAGTTAACAAGCGTGAGCACAACACGTGTGCGTGTACTAAAACACGAGGACCCCAATTTGTTAAGGACAACACGAGGGCAATTTATGGGAATTGTGGATGGAAATCTTCACTGGTAGTGCATTTATCATGAGCAACCACGGCAAATTGGTAGGGCAGAGGAAGCGATGGGAGTTGTGTCTAGCAAATGAGAATGTCTAGAAGAGTGTTTAATGAACAGTGATCGGTGTACACAGGCGACAAAACCCTGGGTTAGTCACGTGTAACGTCTGAAATTAAAATTGAAAGAAGCCATATCCCATTTACCCAGACAGAAACAGCCACTGCCACTCCTTGGGGTAACGACGTTTAACTTTTTATCGGTCCTTTAAAGTCTTGCTTTATTAGCCGATGACCTGTAATTGTAGTCGGTTTAAGGGTCGAGGCAGTCGTACCTGAGACTGCTTTTTCTGCCCTGCAACTCCAAGGACAGTAGTCCAGGCCCAATTTTATTCGCAAAAAAAACCTATTGAGGCAACCATTGCCGGTGACGACCACCACCCAATTGCAATCTTGACCTTTGCAGGCTGGCACTCACAACTTGACCCAACCAGCGCGAGCCACCGGATAACGCCCAGACGTGCCCCTATTGCCACGTGGGTTGGCGCCCCTCACCTTGCCGCAGAAGGAGCACGTGTACTTGGCGTGCTGGCTGATCTAGATTTTCTTCACCATCTTACGCAGGGACGCGCCGTACCGCGTGCCATACTTGCCCACAATGCCAACCTTCTTCGTGCGCTTTGCCTAACGGAGAAAGAGAGCCGAAAGCAAAGACCACACAAAACGTCATTTTCCTGGACACGCAGCGTTTTATATCCGCTCAGATGCTTCGCACCAAGGTCACATTACGACAGACTTCCCAAACAAAACAATATTCAAGTTTATATTTTACTCGCCCTTATAAGAACAATTGCCACCCATAAGTCTACAATTACCTATGGCACGCTTTCAGCACGAAGAGGTTGGGCAAAATCGAATAGGTCGCAGTAGACAAAGGCTAAAGGATAGTTTAACGAACCACACCACCAGAACGGTTTACGTACAACAGTAAACATTAAGGTCTGGTGGCGTGGAATACCCTACACATCGGCAATTTACTGCATTGCAGATTAAACATTAAGTTTAACACGTAGGCTTTCGCGACCACTATCATCCATAGTAGAGTGTTTTGGGTTAGATGGCGTAAATATATAAAAGTGTCGATAAAACCCGCCACCACCCGACAGCCAACTAGTAAGGGTTGTCACGTAAACTGAACATGCCAATTCGTTACTAGTACAGCACTAGTGTATTGTATAGTGTAGTGTATTGTGTAGTATACTAGTACAGCACATCAGTGTTGGAGAGCCAAGCCACAACATTTACAATCTGAGTACGACGTTTTGCCAGTAATTACACCTAGCTTCATCAGGTGACAACCAGATTTGTGCCGTACTAGTAACGAATTGGCATGTTCTGATTACGTGACAAACCTTACTAATCGGCCGGTGGCAGGTTTAACGATACATTTGCATATTTACGCGATCTAATCCAAGAAGACCTGTACGGAGATTAAACATTGTCAACACTCGGGAAATTATTTAAATCCGCACAAAAACGTTAAATATATTATTCAGATGCCTGGTCTCGTGTGTTGAGCCATGTGCACATAAAACCAATCAAGAACCCAGCGAGGAATATTTTTGAAGGGAAACCTGCGGCAACTCTCCAAGCAGGTTTGGGACGCCAACAGTCATCAGGTCAATACACTGCTGGATCAGAGAATGACCGCGCCAACACGCACGTCTCGTGCTGCTGCTACTCTCCCACACCAAGTTGGAAGGTGTCGAGGCATCACAAGCACCGTACAAGGGTAGTACTACTGCACCGATCCCCAACCGAGTCCCGCGGCCTATATGATGCTTATGGCGTTTTCTGTCCACAGCTGCTGGACACGCGGTTTCTTAAGACGCCATCACTTGCGGTGCAACCTGCAGCCAAACCGGCTACTTGCGCGAGCTCGGTGGCGGGTTGAATACATGCTCGTCCAACCGATGAAATAGATCGACACCGTGGCCGTCTAAGCCACACTCGCAACCCAGCGAAGGCGTCTGTCACCATCAATCGTTTCGCCGCGCAACACAAACAGGCGAGTCGCAAGGTCGTTAAAAAGAGGCGGACTGCTTTCATCTAACAGTGGATAGACCACGGCAAAAACAACGCACATATAAAACTCGCACCAATGAATAACGCAGCGCGGAACGTAATCGGTAACTAAACAGCGTGTAACTATAACGAGTATAACTATTTATCAACGCGTCCATTGGACCACAGGCGAAGCCTCAACAAGTTGACGTTCAATGGCCGCGAAGCCAGGGGGCCTGCCGCCCTCGAATCTAAGCCAACACCGAAGTCGCTAAAACCAGGACACTCCGACAATAAATAGCTGCACACAGTCACGAAGCAAGGCGGCGGCGACATTCTGAGCACGCGAGTTCCCGCGAGGAGAGCTCCATGGCCGAGGATGAACGCGGATCGCGAAGCCTCGGATGGCCGCGGACGTAGAAACCCACCATGGCGGGCGGCTGTGGCGGAAAGAAGGGAGTCCTCACTGCGCATGCGCGACTAGGGGCTCCTGCCCCGTGACGTCATCACGCGAGCATGACCGCTAGTGTATCGCAAGATGACGTCATCACGCGAAGCAATATTATTCACGTGTCGAAGTCACTCGCGAGCTCAAACGTGATGACCTCATCAAAGTGTGCTCCAGCTCCAACGTAACAAATACTTTTGAGATTCCGCGTTCAGCAGTGGTGCACAAACAGCAATAAAACGCGGCACATTCGTCAATAACTTGGAGACCTAAAAAAAACATAATAGGCGACGTTTCGAACAAAGGCCCTTCTTCACAGCACACGCAGAGACTCATAGACTCAGCACACAGAGACCCATAGACTCACCACACAGAGATACATAGACTCATCACACAGAGACTCAGACTCAGCACACAGAGACCCATAGACTCACCAGATACACACTGTGACACACACAGTGTGTGTGTCACAGTGTGTATGTCACACAGTGTGTTACAGTGACACAGTGTTACACAGTGTGACACAGTGACACAGTATGACAGTGTGTCACACAGTGTCACACTGTGTGTTACAGTGTTACAGTGTAAGTGTTACACAGTGACACACAGTGTGTCACAGTGTAACACTGTAACACTGTGACACAGTGTGACACAGTGTGACACACAGTGACACACAGTGACACTGTGATGAACCCAGTCAGAGCGAAGGACCCCAATTAATGATGAACCCAGCCAGAGAGAAGGACCCCAATTAATGATGAACCCAGCCAGAGAGAAGGACCACAATTAATGATGAACCCAGCCAGAGAGAAGGACCACAATTAATGATGAACCCAGCCAGAGAGAAGGACCACAATTAATGATGAACCCAGCCAGAGCGAAGGACCACAATTAATGATGAACCCAGCCAGAAGAGACGCTCAGTGAAGGTTTGCCAAGGCGTTCACCTCCCCTCCCTCCCCCCTCCATCCAACACCACTCCCTCCACACGTAGACGGACGAGAGGGGGATAAGATGGGGAAGAGTCTCTACACCATAGAGCTCGATGTATCATCCAACCATCATCACCTAGCCAGCGTGCTGATCTTAAAGGTGCATTGAAAAATGTGATACTCCGACCGATGCTTCTGTTGTTGTGGAGTAACTCATGAAGCCAGCTATGGCTCTAGGATTTGGTGTTACATGTTATTTATGTAGTTTATTGTACAAATTCGGTCACAGTCCCTGTGATCACTGTTACGTTGCAATAATGGCTTTATTTTTTGGTGATTTGGAAAACGTTTTTTGGTTTGGACATGTTTGTTTTGTTGTAGTACGGAGTTAGACTGATGGCCTTAATCTAAGTTTTCTTGTGGTTGTTGTTTGACTTGCATCCCACTGGGATTTTTTGCACACAGCGTTGGTGCACGGTGCTTTTTTCAGGAATATTTTGCAGTTTTTTTCCTGGATTTTCTGTTTGCACAGTCACACATAGTCATTTTAAGATTTTATTTCGATTTAAAGCTTTTGTGACTGCAAGGATTCATCTTCTTTGGTTCTTTCGGTAAAGTCACCACGTAGAATGAGAATAAAATAATAAATTGATAAAATAAAATAACACAATAATATTGAGAATATTATTATTGAGAATATTATTGTGTTATTTTATTTTATCAATTTATTATTTTATTATCATTCTACGTGACTTTACCGAAAGAACCAAAGAAGATGAATCACTTTAAGATGTTTTCTTGTTCGTATTTTAGTTTTTTTTGTTTGTTGTGGTTGCACCCGATTCAAGAGCCGAATGGCTCACAGGGCTATACCAAAATAAAGAAACTGAAAAACTGAAACACTTGCACCAAGCTCTCAAGACGAATGGATATTCGGACCACACAATCCGTAAAGCTATCACCCCAACCGTTGGGAAAGAACCATCTGAGGACCCAATCAAAACCATCACCTTGTCATACATTAGCAGGGGTCATCAAAAATACTTCTAAAATCCTGAGCAAACACACAAGATCCAGGCTCGATTTAACAGTGCGTAAAATCCGTGAGCTAATCCCATCTGCGAAGGATGTTGATCCCTGACGTGCAATACCCCGGCGTCTACAAACACAAACTGTGTCTGCGGCAGCAGTTACATTGGGGAAACTAAGCGACACTTATTCTTAGCTCTTTCGCTAAAGTCACGTTGAAGGGAAACAATAAAATAATAAAATATATAAAACAATAAAAATTCTCACGTTTCGACCATAACACAAACGACCACGTGAACTGGTCGAAACGTCGTGAGAATTTTTATTGTTTTATATATATATTATTATTTTATTGTTTCCCTTCGACGTGACTTTACCGAAAGAGCTAAGAATTGAATTACTGCAGTCACGAAAGCTTTAAATCTAAATTTAAGCGACACTTCTCGGGCCGTGTTCGTGAGCAGAAGGCGGATTTGAAACACGGAAGGATCAACACCTCGGCCGTGGCTGATCATTGTTTTAATGCGGTTGGCTCACGCGAAATAGATTTCTCTAAGACGAAGTTACTTTGTAAGCCCACTGGCTATCAGCAAAGATTCGTTATTGAGGCCATCCACAGACACAATTTGAACCAAGAGGATGGGTACAGACTCAGCAATCATTGGAAGGACGTCATGGACCAGTTTGTCGTAACTGGCTGTGATGTGTCCATCCTGTCACCTCCCAATGTTCGTTTTTATTTTAATAAAGATGGGACCATCAATTCCAGTTCCCGCGGTGTCGCCCTGTGCATTGGGCCCACCGCAAGTTGTTAATTTCTCCACGGCTCGTGCGTCCACCCTTCTCTCGATTCTCCCAGTTCACGTGAACATCACCGCAAGTTGTTAATTTCTTCACCCTTCTGTCGATTCTCCCAGTTCACGTGAACATCTCCGCTTGTGATCCACGACGCTGGAGCTGCGCCCGTTTTAATCCTTTAAAACAGCTTCTTCTTCTTTGCCTTTAGCGATCGCCCCACTTCTTCCCCTCCTGATGACGGTCGCCTGCGTTGCGATCGAGACGTCGTAGTTTTCTTTGTTTATTTGATTATTTCTGAACATATCCCACGTGACTTTATAGAAAGTCCCCCAAAGAATATGAATTCCTGCACTCGCGAAAGCTTTAAGTCAACAACAATTTGTAGTGACGCAGTTGGGGAGTCGGCAATACTTGTAGGGGCTTCTTTATTCAGCAACAACAACAAGTTGTAGTGACGTAGAGCAACAACAACAAGTTGTAGTGACGTAGAGCAACAACAACAAGTTGTAGTGACGTAGAGCAATAACAACAAGTTGTAGTGACGGAGAGCAACAACAACAACAACGTGAACACCGCCGCCCTACGTGGGCGGACGCACTTTGACCCTCACCACAAGTAGTGGCACCGTCTGTTGCTCAGTAAGAGCAGTCGCCAGCGCCGTCTCACTAGGTGGTGAAGACGACGACGATGATGATGACGACGATGATGATGATGACGACGATGATGATGACGACGATGACGACGACGATGATGATGACGACGATGACGACGACGATGATGACGACGATGACGACGATGATGACAATGACGACGATGATGACAATGACGACGATGATGACGACGATGACAATGACGACGATGATAATGACGACGATGACAATGACGACGATGACGAACTTGAACAGCCACGACGGAGGATTCCAGACATCACGTGGTGCACCACGTGATGTCTCACGTGGTGCACCACGTGATGCACCTAAGTTACCCTCTTCCATCAGCAGGCGGCGCTGTGCCCCTACAATAACATCAACAACAATAACATCAACAACAATAATATCAACAATAACATCAACAATAACATCAACACAGTGCTATGCCCCTACAATAACAACAATAACATCAACAACAACATCAACACGGTGCTATGCCCCTACAATAACATCAACAATAACATCAACATCATGACGGTGGTGGCTGCGGCAGCGGCGGCCTTGCACGCGCTGCACACACACGGAGCCTGAGGTCTCGCCAGCGGTGTGAGACTGAGGGAGCGGTGTGAGACTGAGGGAGCAGAGAGAGAAACATCAACCAGGGGCTGTCCCCAACAGACTCCACCTATTCCTCTTATTATTACTCCTCCTCCTACACTTCTTACACCTCCTCCTACACCTCCACCTCTACCTCCTCCACCTCCTCCTCCACTGAGACCTCCTCCACCTACTCCTCCACTGAGACCACCTCCTCCACCTCCACTGAGACCTCCTCCACCTCCTCCACTGAGACCTCCTCCACTGAGACCTCCTCCACCTCCACTGAGACCTCCTCCACTGAGACCTCCTCCAACTCCTCCACTTAGACCTCCTCCACCTCCTCCACTGAGACCTCCTCCACTGAGACCTCCTCCACCTCCACTGAGACCTCCTCCACCTCCACTTAGACCTACTCCAACTCCTCCACTGAGACCTCCTCCACCTCCACTGAGACCTCCTCCCACCTCCACTGAGACCTCCTCCACCTCCTCCTCCACTGAGACCTCCTCCACTGAGACCTCCACCACCTCCTCCACTGAGACCTCCTCCATTGAGACCTCCTCCACCTCCTCCAACTCCACGTGCTGCTCCATCATCCCCACGGTGCATCCTTGCCACCATCACCACCATCATCACTACCGCCACCACCATCATCATCACTACCATCGCCACCACCATCATCATCATCCTTTCCACCATCACCATCGTCATCATCGTCGCCACCATCACCACCATCCTCACCATCATCACCATCACCATCGTCGCCACCATCACCATCGTCGCCATCATCATCCTTGCCACCATCACCACCATCATCATCTTCACCATTATCATCATCCTTGCCACCATCACCATCGCCATCATCGTCGCCACCATCACCATCGTCGCCACCACCATCATCACCATCGCGACCACCATCAGCATCGTCGCCACCACCACCATCATCACCACCATCACCATCGTCGCCACCACCATCACCACCATCACCACCACCATCACCATCATCATCATCGCCACCACCATCACCATCACCACCACCACCACCATCACCACCATCACCACCATCACCACCAACATCACCACCATCACCACCACCATTACCACCATCACCACCACCATCACCACCATCACCACCATCACCATCGTCACCACCATCACCACCACCATCACCACCACCACCACCATCACCACCATCACCAACATCACCATCACCACCATCACCACCATCACCACCACCATCACCACCACCATCACCACCATCACTATCACCACCACTACCACCACCATCACCACCACCACCATCACCACCACCACCATCACCACCACCAATCACCACCATCACCACCACCATCACCACCACCATCACCACCACCACCACCATCACCACCACCATCACCACCATCACCAACATCACCACCACCATCACCATCACCACCACCACCATCACCACCATCACCACCACCATCACCACCACCCACCATCACCACCACCATCACCACCATCACCACCATCACCACCACCATCACCACCATCACCACCACCACCATCACCACCACCATCACCACCATCACCACCACCACCATCACCACCACCATCACCACCATCACCACCATCACCACCACCATCACCACCATCACCACCACCACCATCGACCACCACCATCAGTATCACCACCACCATCCACCACCACCATCACCACCACCATCACCACCAATAACCCACCACCATCACCACCACCATCACCACCAACATCACCACCATCACCACCATCACCAACATCACCACCACCACCATCACCAACATCACCACCCATCACCCACCACCATCCACCACCATCACCACCACCACCATCACCACCACCACCACCACCATCACCACCATCACCACCATCACCACCACCATAACCACCATCACCACCATCACCACCACCACCATCACCACCATAACCACCACCACCATCACCACCACCATCACCACCATCACCGTCGTAGTTGTCGTCAAGGCGACCCCCGGCCAGCAGGCTGCTGTCCAAGTCACTGTAAGAAGTGAGGACAGTGAGCGAGGAGTCAGACTCCGTACTGGGGCTCAGCCACTTGGGGAAGATATCCAAGTGACATTTCTCTGACAGATCGATTGCGATTGATTTGCGATAAAAAAATACATTGAGTCAAGCTCCGATTCAATAGTCACTGTGTAATCGATGTAAAAACACGTGATGGAGTCATTGCCACGTGATACACCACAATATGAGCTGCTCTGGATATATTCTAATGCAAGAATGAGAACTTGAATTGCTTCCAGCGTGTATTATTAAAATGTTCTAATTGAAATAGAACATCATTGGAAACCTCATTTGCCAGTAACAAAATACGATGATTGGTTTTTTACCCTTTTATCTGGCAACAAACTGACACCTTTTTACAAGTAGTCATGTTTACATTGACCACAATACCTGCGGTCGGAACGCAAACACAAAACAACTCTGATAATGTAAAAGGGTAAAAAACCCATCATCATATTTTGTTACTGGCAAATGAGGTTTCCAATGGTGCAAATGCTTTACCCCGAGCTCTCATACTCTGATGGTGCATTGTCTTTTGAGTTGTGCGCCTTTTGGCGTCTTCTGGTCCAACACCAACGTGAGACGAGGCTCTAAAGAAAAACGTCTCGGGTGTGGACCAATCAATTTCAAGGACAGTGCCAATACATTATCAGAGTTGTTGTTTTGTGTTTGCGTTTCGACCGCAGGTATTGTGGTCAATGTCAACATGACTCCTTGTAAAAATGTGTCACTTTTGTTGCCAGATAAAAGGGTAAAAAAAACAATTATGAAATAGAACAATCAAACATAGAACAATTGTTAAGTGAAATAAATAAAGAACCGCACAGAATCACAGCCTTTGCGATTTGCTCATCGCATTGTTCAAATTGCGATTTCGATTTCAGATCGATTCATCGTTCATCCCTTCTACATACCTGGTGGTGGTGGTGATGGTGGTGGTGATGGTGGTGGTGATGGTGGTGGTGATGGTGGTGATGGTGGCGGTGGTGATGGTGGTGATCGTGGTGATGGTGGTGATGGTGGTGGTGATGGTGGTGATGGTGGTGATGGTGATGGTGGGTGATGGTGGTGGATGGTGGGGTGGTGATGATGGTGGTGATGGTGATGGTGGTGATGGTGGTGGTGATGGTGGTGGTGGTGATGGTGGTGTGGGTGGTGATGTGGTGATGGTGGTGATGGTGGTAGTGGTCGGTGATGGTGGTGATGGTGGTGATGGTGGTGGTAGTGGTGGTGATGGTAGTAGTGGTGGTGATTGGTGGTGATGGTGGATGATGGTGGTGATGGGGTGGTGATGGTGGTGATGGTGGTGGTGATGGTGGTGATGGTGGTGGTGATGGTGGTGGTGATGGTGGTGATGGTGGTGCGTTGATTGGTGGTGGTGGTGATGTGGTTGTGGTGGTGATGGTGGTGGTGATGGTGGTGCTGGTGGTGGTGAAGGCGGTGGTGGTGGTGATTGGTGGTGCCGGTGGTGGTGGTGATGTGGTGGTGATGGTCGGTAGTTGGTGGTGATGGTGGTGGTTGTGATGATGATAGTGGTGATGGTGGTGGTGATGGTGATGATGGTGGTGGTGATGGTGATGATGTGGTGGTGGTGTGATGGTGGTGATGGTGGTGGTGTGATGGTGGTGATGGTGGTGGTGATGGTGGTGGTGGTGCTGTGTGTGATGGTGGAGGTGATGGTGGTGATGGTGGTGATGGTGGTGGTGATGGTGGTGGTGGTGATGGTGGTGGTGGTGGTGATGGTGGTGGTGATGGTGGTGATGTGGTGGTGGTGGTGATGGTGGTGGTGATGGTGATGGTGGTGGTGATGGTGGTGATGGTGATGGTGGTGATGGTGGTGGTGATGGTGGTGATGGTGGTGGTGGTGGTGATGGTGGTGGTGGTGGTGGTGGTGATGATGGTGGTGGTGATGGTGGTGGTGATGGTGGTGGTGATGGTGGTGGTGGTGATGGTGGTGGTGATGGTGGTGGTGATGGTGGTGATGGTGGTGATGGTGATGGTGGTGATGGTGATGGTTACCTGCACACGACATTGACACCATCAGTCATCTGCAGCTTCTCGTGGTCCAGGCTCTGGGCGCCTCCTCCTCCTACAAACAACAACAACTTTACACTACACTATACACTACACTATACACTACTATACACTACTCTATACACTACACTATACACTACACTATACACTACACTATACACTACTATACACTACACTATACACTACACTATTACACTACACTATACACTACACTACACTATACACTACACTATACACTACACTATACACTACACTATAGACTACACTATACACTACTATACACTACACTATACACTACACTATACACTATACATTACACTATACACTACACTATACACTACACTATACAGTACGCTATACACTACACTATACACTACACTATACACTACTATACACTACACTATACACTACACTAAACACACTATACACTACTATACACTACACTATACACTACACTATACACTGCACTACACACTACACTATACACTACACTTTACACTACTATACACTACACTATACACTACACTATACACTACACTATACACTACACTTTACACTACACTATACACTGCACTACACACTACACTACACTTTACACTACACTATACACTACACTATACACTACACTATACACTACGCTATACACTACACCACACACTACACTATACACTACACTATACACTACTATACACTACACTATACACTACTATACACTACACACTACACTATACACTATTATACACTACTATACACTACACTATACACGTAACTTTATACACGTAACTTTATACACTACACTATACACTACACTATACTATACACTACACTATACACTACACTATACACTACTATACACTTCACTATACACTACTATACACTACACTATACACTACACTATACACTACACTATAAACTACACTATACACTACACTATACAATACACAACCACACTACACTACACTATAAACTAGTAACTAATTGGCTGTGTCAGGTGGTGAAGGCTTTAATGACAAAGCGTTGAGATATTCACGCCATGTAACACAACAAACGAGCCCTACTGTGGACATAACGGCAATGTTGTGTCCATACCGTAGCAGCGAGACCTCCCGCGTGCCCGGCGAGGCAGTCAACATCTCGGCAGACCGCCACCACACCCACCACCACCACGACCACCCCCATCATCACCACCACCACCACCACCACCCCCACCACCACCACCACCCCCACTGCCACCACCACCACCATCACCCCCACCACCACCACCATCACCACCACCACTACCCCCACCACCACCACCACCCCCACCACCCCCACCACCACCACCACAGCCCTCACCACCACCACCACCACCGCCGCTCACCGGGACGCTTGCCGGCGGCGCTCCAAATGCCCCACGCGGTGCCCAGCAGGAAGGGCGCCAGAAACGCCGCCGCCACCGCCACCCCATCAGCGTTACCATCAGCGTCAACATCAAGCGCACGGAGGAGGTGGTGGTGGTGGTGGGGGGTGGTGGTGGTGGTGGGGGTGGTGGTGGTGGGAGTGGGGGTGGTGGTGGGAGTGGTGGTGGTGTTGGGGTGAGTGGGGGTGGTGGTGGTGGTGTTGGTGGTGTTGACTATGAGAGCGGGAAGACACGGGGAGATACGGGGAGTTACGGGGAGACAGAGAGAGACAGAAACACGGAGAGACAGAGGACACAGACAGAGAGAACAGACAGAGAGACAGAGACACAGACAGCGAGACAGAGACACAGACAGACAAAAAGAGGACAGAGACACAGACAGAGAGAGAGACAGAGGCAGACAGAGAGACAGAGACAGTCTGTGTATATCTGTGTGTGTGTGTCTGTGTGTATCTGTGTGTGTGTCTGTGTGTATCTGAGTGTGTCTGTGTCTATCTGTGTGTCTGTGTCTATCTGTGTGTATCTGTGTGTGTGTGTCTGTGTATATCTGTGTGTGTGTCTGTGTGTGTCTGTGTGTCTGTGTCTGTGTATATCTGTGTGTGTGTCTGTGTGTCTGTGTCTGTGTATATCTGTGTGTGTGTCTGTGTGTGTCTGTGTGTCTGTGTCTGTGTATATCTGTGTGTGAGTCTGTGTATATCTGTGTGTGTATCTGTGTATATCTGTGTGTGTCTGTGTGTGTCTGTGTGTATCTGTGTGTGTGTGTATCTGTGTGTGTCTGTATCTGCGTGTATCTGTGTGTGTATGTCGGTATATATCTGTGTGTGTCTGTGTCTGTGTGTATCTGTGTGTGTGTGTCTGTGTGTATCTGTCTGTGTGTGTGTCTGTGTATATCTGTGTGTGTGTGTGTCTGTGTATATCTGTGTGTGTGTCTGTGTATATCTGTGTGTGTCTGTGTCTGTGTGTATCTGTGTGTGTACGTGTCTTGTAATTACCAACACGGTGTTCCGGCATCAGCGCATCCACACAACATCATGGATGCATGCCGGGTCCAAGCAAGAACATCTGCTGGACTACATAGTGACGGACCAACGGATACGAGCCCATGTCCTTGACACCAGGACTTACCGTGGAGATGATCTGCCCTCTGACCATCGACTAGTCATCTGTAAGATGCGCCTGCCATTCTTCCACTTCCGGTGGAGGGTGTACACCCAGGACCCCATTCCAACCTAAAGTGGCCTGGTCTCAGTTTATCTGATGAAAAGTTGCAAGCGAGAATTTCATCATCGCTTGCGGCTGGGATTGACAATGTCCCCGACTCCTCCTGATGTCGAGGGTAAATGGGCGAGGTTTAGGACTGTGACTCATGCAGCTGCAATGGCTGCTTTGGGTACGCGGTCCAGACCTCCCCAGAGACCCTGGCTGACAGAGGAGGTGTTCAGGATGGTTGAGAAAAAGCGACAGGCCCATTGTCATCGGCTACAGAATCCCACGTCAGAGAATGAGGAGGCTTACCGCAGCCTTCGCTCGGAGGTTCGGAAAGCCGTGAGGCGCTGCAAGGATGGGTGGTGGTCACGGGTTGCTGAGGAGATGGAGTCTGCCTCAGTGGCCCGTGATCACAAATCTCTATTTAACTCCATCAAAAAAGTAATCTGCAGTGCCACACCTATTACCATCATTAGGGGAAAAAACGATGACGCAATCTCCGACCCCCAGGAACAGGTTTGCAGATTTGCTGAGCATTTCTGTGAGGTCCTGGGGGAGGGAAAATCCCTCAGCCAGGAAAACATCGTGGCACAAAGTGAGGATGACCCTGCTGAGGCTGCGGTGCCTCAAGTATTGAAAAAAGTCACCCCCTGTGAGTGGCTGGCTGAGGTGCCATCTGTTGAGGAAGTACTGAAGGCGATCCGGAGTCTGAGACCAGGAAAGGCAGCGGGCAGAGATGATCTCCCAAGCGAAATGCTGAGGGAGGGCGGCGTTTGTGCACAGACTGCCCTATATGACATCATAAGAACAGTCTGGACCACTGGACGGGTTCCGCAGGATTGGAAGGATGCCCTGGTGGTCCCCCTTTTTAAGAAGGGGGGACGCACAGACTGTAATAACTACAGGGGCATCTCACTCCTCAGTGTGCCGGGAAAGGTCCTGGCAAGGATTATTCAACATCGCCTTGCCAGGCACGCTGAGGAGAGGCTTGCGGAGCCCCAATGCGGTTTCAGGAAAGGGCGGTCCTGCACAGATGCCATATTTTCTGTCCGTCTGCTACAGCAGAGGTGTAGGAATTCCAACAAGACCTACATCTCTGCTTTATTGACCTGGTCAAGGCCAATGATACCATCAGTAGGCCTGGGCTCTGCGTTGTTCTTCGTGCTTTTGGAGTACCTGACCCTCTGCTCACGATCATTAAGGACCTTCATGATGGTGAGCGGGCCCGGGTAAAACTACGTG